CAATATGTTTATTTGTATATGCATATGAAGCATATTTAACTGATGAAAACATAAGCATTGGATGTTTATATCAACCTCATAGTAGTCTTATTTTAATTTTGAGTCATTTCGCAGTTTTTATACAGCTAAATAGCATATAAATTACGTAATTCACGTAGATATATAAATATTACGTTCAACATTTCGTTTAAAATGCCAGATTTCCTGCAAATACTTAAGAATTTACAAAAGGAATTTCACTACTAATTGCCTACTTTGCGTACTTTTCTACTACCATTTTCGCAACAAGGGATTGCATTCTTGCCCTTTCTCTGTCCTTCGCAAATGCAACCTTTTGTAAGGGAGTGTCAAACCGCAGCTGTCAATAATTATCTAACCTTGTATTATTGAATCATGGACAATGACAACATCCGATGAGGCGGCTCTTGGGGTGTTTGAGAGAAAGATTTTGCGGAAGATTTACGGTCCTTTACGCGCTGGCGGCGGCGAGTACCGCAGACGATGGAACGATGAGCTATATGAGCTTTACAACGATATGGACATAGTGCAGCGAATTAAAATACAGCGGCTCCGCTGGCTGGGTCATGTCGTTCGAATGGACACCGACGCTCCAGCTCTGAAAGTATTCAACTCGGAACCCGCTGGGGGTAGCAGAGGAAGAGGGAGGCCCCCACTGCGATGGAAAGATCAGGTGGAGAAGGACTTGGCTTCACTTGGCGTTTACAATTGGCGTCAGTTGGCACAGAGGAGAAACGACTGGCGTGCTTTGCTGAACTCAGCCAAAATCGCTTAGGCGGTTACAGCGCCAAAAAAGAAGAAGAAGAAGCTAATACAATACCTACATTTCTGAAACTTTAGTGTTATTTTCCATTTTTGTATTTTAAAATATTTGCTTTCGGATGTAAACAAACAACGGCTGTTATTTCAAATTTACTTCTTGCACATTTCTACCCGGAAAATATGTCCGTGCTGTTTCGTGCACGAAGAAGAAGACATTTACGATCCAAAAATGGAAGGTATTCGCTCTCTATTACCAATTTTTCTAGCCTGAGCAAAGAACGTAAGTCTATAAGAACAGCCAACACGTTATAATTGTAGCGAGTGTTAATATCAGGAGCGCGCCATCTCTTTTGCCCAAATACGTTTTTTGATTGGATGAAAAGAGAAGGCACGCGCCTGATGTTCACACTCGCTACAATTATAACGTGTTGTCTCTTTATAGATTTACGTTCTTTGGCGTGGGGAACACTTTCTGGGCTGTTTTGGGCACCCGCGGGCTATTGACTGCCGCGGTTCGACACTCCCTTACAAAAGGTTGCATTTACGAAGGACGGAGAAAGGGGAAGAATGAAATCCCGTGGCGCGAAAATGGTAGTAGGAAAGTACGCAAAGTAGGCAATTGGAAGAAGGAAAGTTCGATTTCGTATCGATTATTCTGAATATCGATATTTCATGGAACGATAATCGATTTTTTGAATCGATATTCCAAGGTCGATATGTCGAAAACATCGATACTTTACCCGAATATCGATTTTAATTTGAAATTTATTTTTCATCTACAAAAAAGTGTACGGGAAAATATTAAAGTAGGTTTAAAGTATGTTCACATACACATATTATCTCAATCAAAGCTCGTTTTTTAATCACCCCGTTTACACAGGCAAATCTCAGATTATTAGCCGTCAAATTTGTTGTGCTTGTTATTCTCAAATCTCAAGGAAAAGTTATGTTTCTTCTCTGTGCCACCGTGATCACGTTTTTCTGCTATATTAAGCAATATAAATATGTTTTAACTTAACACTTTATTAAAAATACCTTTACAAGCCTCTTTTCCTTGCCAGCGTCCATTTTTCTTTACTTTTACATTTGGCATTTCTCCTCTTTTTCGCAAAAACAATTAATAAAACTAGGATGGACATCGAAAAGTTATCGGTTAAATCTGAGATTATTTTATAATTACAGATTAACAAGGGACGAATTTTATATGGTTAATCTCTTGTTCTAATTACAGATTAGGGTGTTAAGCTCGAAAATGCAGTTAATCTACTTATATGTGAACCTAGTATTAATCAGCAGCTTGTGTGATTTATTTAGCTCTTAAGTTTGACAAACCGCTTGAGTCGATCGGCATGCCGTTTTAATCCTCAGTAAATATACAAGATGGAAATAACACAATTAGGTGAGTTAATAGGCAGGCCTAATATTCTATTTAATTGGGAAGATTTTCAACATCGATTTTTCCGATATCGATATTGTTTAGCCCGATATATCGCCATATCGATTTTACATGCAATGAATTAAATCGATTCATGATATCGATACTTTCTTAAAATATCGAACATTCCTAATTAGAAGTGAACCATGAACCATGAATGGAAGTGAACGGTGCCACTGCTAACCGGCCGTCTTCACGTGCTTGCAAATCTCGCTTGCGTGACGACGCAGAGATTTTGTGGAGTGGCAGTCTTTGGCTCGATATAACTCTGGGTCATTCCGATATAAATTCTGGGTCGTGGGAACGTCATGGAATAAAATTTATTGCTGTCATGTCTCAAAGTACATAACGTCAGATGTCGAAAAAGTTGAATCGGTGTATTTGTATGAAGTAAGTTACACGAGCACAGCTGACGGAGACGGCGATGCACATATTAGCTCAACTCTAAAGTTTGCTTATGGTTTATTAAATGCGAAAATAAGTGATCCTGTAAAACCTGCAAATCGTGAAGTACGGGAACAGGCTATATATGAGAGCTGGCAGGTGGAAACCTTCGATAAGATTGATAGTCGATTAAATTTGCATGTAATAACTAATTTCACTTTTAATTTACATACATATATACATACATTCTTCGTCGGTTGTGGAAAAATGTGGCTATTTTGGTTGACTAATTATTGCCCTGTAAATAATACGATCTTCACTAATTATAATGAACTTAGTTAGGACTTATATTTATTATCTTTTTTAACACAAATTATGACCTCAATTACGTCATTAGTTTTGTGGCAGTAGAAATTATCATTTGTTTCAATCAATTTCAAGTATGTGGTCATTTACTTGTAGTAAAACCCCTTTTATTTAGTATTTACTTTAACTAATAACAACGTTTAATAAATAGTGTTTTAGCAGCTACATGTAATAAGCTATATTCACAGTTTCGGTGATGTAACAGCCACGGACCCAGTAGGTAAACTTGCTGCCCCTGGATCTGGTTCTGCAACTTGCTTATTTTCATCTGGCGTCACTCTATCCACAACGTGTTTGTGGATGAGGCCGTCTGATCCTAAATAACACACCGAGAATCCATCATACCAGGCCTCCTGCTCTTCGAAAATTTCTTTCATTTCCCAAAGTTTATATTTCCAAAACGAAAACATAACTTTTAATCCAGAAATACCTCGCACTCTCCACCGAATTCTCACAGTATAATCTTCAGTGTGCTTGGTAATTTTAAGAACTTCGAACTTCACATAGGCATATTTCAAATGCCCTACTGTACGCAGTAGAGCTATCTGTTTTACAAAGTGGTATAATCCAATCGTCTGCTTTCCAGTAATATTGTTTTCGAATACCAAATTTGGACTATAGATAGAATAATCTAATGGTTCTACAAACAATTTAGGCAATGTCTCCTGAAGAACTCTGAAAGCACGATCAAGATCTTCCAGTCGAGGCTGGTTCCTATTTTTGGAATACGATGCATTTTTATTGTGGAGTTGGCGTATATCTTGACAAGTAGGTTGCAAGATGTGAGCGTTTAACCGATTAATTGTATGACGCGCTTTTGGTGTTTTGCCATTAAAGTTGTGATATCCTAAACGGTTGTAGTAGTTATTTAATGGGTATAACATTCTAGTAACATGCTGCAAATTGATTTTTGGTAGTTGACGAAATTTAATGCAATTAGAAACGTGAGATATCATTGCCGATGCCATTGGAAAACTAGGAGCACTTTAGAGCTCCTACTGCGGCTTTTAGAACGACTGATACAATCTGAAATATATGGAGTAGCATTTATGTACATTAACGTTCACTATTATACAGAAAATATTCCTGACTTTATTCAATATTTTGTTTACGTCTAACGAAGAGTCGGCGTGCCAAATAAACTCCACTAAAAGTGCTAATAAGGAACAGTATGGTTGTAATATCACCAATCTGTCTGTAGTCAGAATTAGGAACAGAACACAGGGTTAACTTTCGATTTGTAATCAAAGTATTTAACACCGCGTTTACACCTGTTAATGTTATTTACTGTTCAAAACGATTTGCGAAATCAAAGAACGTAAAACTATAAGAAGAGACAACACGTTATAATTGTAACGAGTGGGATCATCAGGAGCGTGCTTTCTCTTTTGCCCAAATACGGTTTGTGATTGGATGAAAAGAGAAGGCACACTCCTGATGTTCACACTCGCTACAATTATCTTTACGTCTTGTCTCCTCTTATAGATATATGTTCTTTGGCGAAATTAACCCCACGTCCCCACTTTCTACAGATTCTGCTAAAAAATGTGTGTTAAGACAGAAATGTCAAGTGGAGACCGCAAATTTCCACTGTTAAACCACATCTGTATTGCCGAATTTTTTACCATCGCCATCTCAGTTTTCATTTAACCGCGCCATCTACATTGGTACAGATCGATCTGATTGGCTTGATGGCATTTTGAAAGTGAAATGCTAAAACAGCAAGTTGCCCACATCAGAAAATAGTACAAAGTTAAAACAGAAATTTGAACACATGTTAAGACCCATTTAGTAGAAGATGGAGGATTGGGTAATCCTGCCATACTGTCATCAAAACCAACCGAAACTGAACGTCGTGGGTAAAAATCTAACTACAATTTCAAAGTAAGGTCTGCATGAGATTTTGATTTAATGTATCTGGATACAAACGCAATAAAACCCATTCCGAGTGACACAGAAAAACAAATTAGGCTGCATGCTGTAAGAGTACCACTCCGCAAACAAGCTTTTCAGGATTTTAGTGCTCTTTACAGCTATAAGGATTATATTACGGCTTGAGCGCCGAAAACCACACGCTTGAAAACATTATTATGGGGCTCTACTCTCAACCATGTGTAAATATAACAATATTCTATAGTCTACGGTTACCCACATATATAACTTTCTGTTTTTGTAAAAAACAACCCTGTGTTAATTTTACCGCGCCATTGTATTGGATTCCCGAAAGATTGTGAATGCAGCGAGTTCTTCGGACTTGTATATACACGGCCGAGGCGATTAATACAAGGTGGTAGCAATAGTACACAAAAAAAGCTTACATCTAATTTGCTTTTGCTTTAACGGGTGAGCTGTCAAAGTTTACATTTATTTTGTTGTTGCTTTTGATGGCTTTCCTGCCAAATCATTAAAAGCAAACGCAAAATACATTAAGGCGAAGAAATCAGCTGGTTTAACAACACCACCTTGTATGAGTGAGCCTTGTACACGGCTGACCAGTGAAGTATAGCATGAACTTGGCATGAACCCAAAATACGACGTTGTATTTGTAAAGGCCCGTTTGCATACAATTTTGGCGTTGCGTTGGCGTTGGCGCCGCTTCAATACCTGACTATGAATACATGCATTTATGACTGAGTTTCTTTATACATTTCGGATAATCCCATTTTACAGCCGGAATAAACAGAATGCGTTTGAAATATACGTTAACATATCATCAGGAACGTTCTAAAGAATAAGTAAACAAAAAGGTATATTCCAAACGTTCAGAATGAATAAAGAAATGCAGCCTATATGAAAGTCAACGCCAACACAACGCAGAAAGATGGCCAACTCGAAAATTTTCGCGCGCGTCGTTCGTCAGCTGTCCCAAATAATCAAAATTATGTGATTTCATTTTCCTTCTTAGTCAAATGCGGAAAAGAAATATAGTTTTTAATGCAGTTATTGATATAAAATTTTTATTTATCTGCTGCTAGTATGTGAATTTAGTGAACAACGTATTCTCTGCTATGCGTCATTGTAGCAAAGAACGTAAATCTAAAAGACGTTATAATTGTAACGAGTGACATTAGGAGCGTGCTTTCTCTTTTACCCAAATACGTTTTGTGGTTGGATGAAAAGAGAAGGCACGCTCCTGATGTTCCCACTCGTTACAATTATAACGTTTTACGTTCTTTGATTGTAGCAAGCACGGGTGTTACTCGCGCTGCTGTCAAAGAGACGCCAGTGCGAACGAAATGCCAAAGTTGTATGGGGACGGGCTCTAATTGGTTTTGAGAAAAGTTTGTGGAAGCGGGTTCGTCAGCTGAGCATTTGTTTACTTCACTATCACCATTACTTTACATTTTTCTTTAACAAAATAATAGTTCAATTAACATGACAACACGTTTTAATGCTTATTAATGAACAATTTTACCTAATTTTGGATTTCGTAGATTTCTTTGCTTATCGTTCGTTTCCAGTGTTTCTTGTTCTTGCGTGATCTTGTGTCGTTCTTCATGGAAGTAGCATGAACGAAAGACACAAGATCACGTAAGAACAAGAGAGTGAAAAAAGTCGATTTTTTTTTAGCGGGTTCTACGCCATCTTGTTTCACTGGAAAACGAGCGAAAAGTAAACAAAGCAAAGAAAACAACGAAAACCAAAATTATTGTCAGCCACTTTAAACGCACAATTTAGGTAAAATGATGCAACAAAATGCTTTAAAATGTGTTGTCATGTTGAGTTAACTCTTCTTTACTTGAATAAAAGTGTAAAATAGTGGTGCTTGTGATGTAAACAAACGCTCAGCTGACGAACCCGCTTTCGCAAACTTTTTTCTCAAAACCAGTTACAAATACAACGTCGCGTTCTTACGTGATATTGTATTTTTGGTTCATGGAAGTATAGTACATTTTGAGAGTGTGCATTATCGCTTGATTGAAAGTTTTGGCATGCACATGTTTGCTTGTTCAAACAGTGAATAGCAGCCAAGTTCACTTCGGTCGTGTCTTTCCTTTCTCTGTTTCCTGTTGAAAGACAAGTATTAGAAGAATGGTGTGTGAAATTTATAGAATTTATCTTAAAAATAGCAGTTATTCTTTGTTGGAAACTAATGGAGTATCTTAGCTTAAAACTGAAACACTTTTAGCGATATATGACAACTTCATTCATAATTCACTTTATATTTTCTTTTGCTACACAGACCAAGAAACGACGTAACGGAGGGCGCTGCAAGCATAATCGTGGCCATGTGAAGCCTGTACGCTGCACAAATTGTGCCCGCTGCGTTCCAAAAGATAAGGCTATTAAGAAGTTTGTTATTCGCAACATTGTAGAAGCAGCAGCGGTGAGAGATATATCTGAAGCTTCCATATGGGAAAGTAAGTCTAGCTCTGTTTTACTTCTAAAACAACTTCTAATCTTATCGTTTTTAGCATACATTTTGCCAAAATTGTACGCAAAACTTCATTACTGCGTTTCATGCGCTATCCACTCGAAAGTTGTAAGAAATCGTTCCAAGGAAGCTCGTCGCATTCGTACGCCACCTGTTCGAACGTTCCCTAAAGATATGGCTCGAAATCAACCAAGAAAGTAGAGCAAATAAAAGTGTAAAGACGTGACAATGCACATTAAGAAACAGTTTTTCATTAATACCTGAACGTAAACGTGTATGTGTTTTACTTTTCAGCAAGATTGAATTTAGAAAGGTAAAAAATGTAAATACCTATAAACGCCGAGAGTAATTCTACATTGCTATGCACTACATTGGAACACTAAATTGTTATTCTAAGTTCAGTACACTGTACACATTTTTTGCACAATTAGTGAGACTCGCACACAGTTTGTTCCGGCCCCGAACGGGAATGAGCTATAAAACTTTGCTCGAAAACACATCAACGCAGAAAGCATTTACTATAAATTGAGTAAAAATACAAATTTTTTGAAACAAGTAAAGAATGCCGCCTGATTAGCTATAGAAAAATGTAAAACATTGTAAATTGTTTGTGCCGATTTATTCGGAAATGCATCGAGCGAAGCATCGGGCTCGTAGTAGCCGCTACAACAACAACAATCGGGGCCCGAATCGCGGCGGATATCGAATGTAACTCGAATCGAAATTTGATTTTGAGATCGCGGCATTATTCGATAGCTAGTATGCTTCGCTCTTTTAAATTGTATTCAGCCCTATCGCCAATTCCATGTGAATAAATCGTTCACATAATTTAGCCTGCAAAACAAAAACAAATTGGGAAACATTGTTTTTGTTTTGCTTTATAATTTTTGGGAATATTTGTTCATGTGAAATTCGCGATAGGGCCGATTGTGGAAAGTGTTGCCACACACGGGCTTTTCCTCCCAAAACTGGTAGGCTGTTTCCATTTGGTAGATTGGTAGGCTTCATTGGATTTTGGTAGGTTTCGGGCCAATGAGTAATAATTATTTGCGAAAAATAGAAAATATGTACGGTCAATCAATAAAGTTTAGGTGCAGAGGGGTTTTTGCAATGCGGGAAACTGTTTATTAAATACTTTATTTAATGCTAATTCTTTATAAAAATGTGGTTAATACTACAACAAAAACCACAAAAAAGAATTCCAAACCCTGTGCAAAAAAAATGTACAAATTCTCATTCAAATATTGCACTTTCTATTTACACTCTTTAGAAAAAAGTTGAGAATGCAATTTTTTACACCATTCAATTTTATAAGGTAGCTAGCTAGGACTTACCATTGATTTTTGGCTTTTTTTTTGTTGAAAGTGTCCCTTTTTTCTTGAGCTCCCGTCCCGAATTCGGGAGAAATGCTATCAGCAATTCCGGCACATTCATAGTTAGTGCTGCCTTTGATTTTGGTTTTTTTTTATGTTTTGGTTTAATAATTCTAAATCAAAGTAAAATAAATCACAACAAAATAAATCGAAATCAGTGAATTTGCGGGAGAATTTCGTGATCACGACAGAATTCATGATAGCGATCTCCGAGAGAGTGTAAAAACTGCAGTATTTGAATGAAAATTTGCAGAATTTTCATTAATTTTGCACACTGGAGTTCTGATTTTTGGGGTTTCTGTTGTAGAATGAACCATATTTTTCTAAAAAATTTGCGAAAACTTAATAAACAGTTGCCCGTATTGGAAAAATGTCGATGTACTTTATTGACTGACTGTATCTCCAAACATTTTAGCAACCTTTTTTACACGAGTATTTCACCGGTGCGC